ATGTATTTCACCAAGGAGCTGGCGAAGGAGGCCGATCAAAGTCTCCCTCCTTGCATCAATCTGCCCACGCGTCTTGAGATCCCTTACTTCATCAGCATAGACGATGAGAGGGATAGGAAAGAAGAAGAGTGGAATAAATCCCGTTAAGATGGAGGCACGCAGACATTTCTAGAGAGAGTTCATTTTGCCCACGTGTATTTACTGCACAATCAATAATTAAAAAGACAGAAATAAATTCCACAGTACACGCATCTTATACAGCAACTTACATCAAGAATTACCAGAAGAAACAGATTTCCAAGTCTTTCCTAAAGTCTAACTTTGCTGTCTATTCTTTGTGATGACAGTCTACAACTACAGGTACCACAGCAACAGCCAATGTGATCAAGACAACAGCACAAGTGTAAGTATGCACAGCATCCACAGACAACCAACAGGTAAGTAGAACCAACACATAACACAATCAATGGTTAGTTCTCTTCTCAATCATCTGCATCAGCAGTACAACCGAAGTGCACATTCACATCTTCAAAAGTCCTTACACATGCCACGTGTCACCCCTGGCCTTCCAACACAGCAACTCAAAGAGTCTGCCACGTCAGCAAATCAAAGACCCGATAGGTCTACAAGGAGGGATGCCACGTCACAGTGCAGGGCTGCCTTCCTCCAATATACCAAGTCAGCACATCAATAGCAAGCAGTAACAGGTACGTGCCACATCAGACCATGCCCTGCATGCCACATAACAATGTGCCACATCAGCGGTACCAGTGCCACGTCAGCCTGTTGCCAACGCAGCTCTTCAATCTTCAGCGTAGCTTCGTCATCATCTTCAAGAGACGGCTGCTCACATGTGCACTATTACCATGTCTAGACTTGCGGTATGACCGCGCGCATTAATAAACGCGTTTCATATTGCACGTGCGGCACCTCCCACTTACCTGGGTGCCACGTCAGCACCTGACAGCTGACAGCAGATGGCGATGAAGAGTTGCTTCGATACCAAATTGCAATGAACCCAGATCGTGAAGACAGTTATCAACAATGCAAGTCCAGATGAATGTCAGCAGCTGATGATAACCAATAATCAAGATCGTGTCCAGACAGAATGAGACGAGATAATCATACACAGACGAAGGAGAGAGGAGGGAGATTAGACAAATGAGAGGAAATAAATACAATGCCCACTCCTGCTTCGAGCTCCCTCCTCCATCACCACTTCAATAAGCGACGGTCTGAATGAGTATCTGAAGTAACCTCAATGTGCCTCGTGGCACGTCTAATTAGTCCCTCATCAGCACTGGAGCAATGTCAATATGAAGACAACCAGGTACGTATTCACGATCTCCCCACAGTCCTGATCTTCCTCTTCCTCGCAACCAGTCACCTCATGTAGACAGCATGGACAATGCCACGTCATAAACAAGACAGGTGGCAATGCCACATCATCAATGAAGACCAATAGCAGCCCCACGTAGACCAGAAGCAGCGACACATATACCAGAGGCAGCGCCACATGTACCAGAGGCAGCACCACATATACCAGAGGCATTGCCACGTCAGCATGCCACATAGACCAGAGGCAGCGCCACATCAGCATGCCATGTAGACCAGAGGCAGCGCCACATCAGCATGCCATGTAGACCAGAGGCAGCGCCATGTTAGCATGCCACGTAGACCAGAGGCAGCGCCAGGTCAGCATGTCACGTAGACCAGAGGCAGCGCCAAGTCAGCATGCCACGTAGACCAGAGGCAGCGCCGCATATACCAGTGGCAGCGCCACATCAGCATGCCATGAAGACCGGAGGCAGCGCCACATCAGCATGCCATGAAGACCACAGGCAGCGCCACATTGCAATGACTTGCTGATTTCGACTGCCGAGACTGACTGCGAGGCTGTACAGTGTACTGCTGTGTTTGCTGTGTGTTTTGCTGTGTTTTTTTGTTTGCACTGAGGGTCGTCCGCTGTTCTAAAAATAGCCTGAATTAACAGCAGTAGGGGCTGAGTGGTTACCGGTCCTAAGTGGCCTTGAGCCCTAAGTGCAACAGTAGGACCGATTTCGGGGAGGCCGAGTAGGCCCTAACTGAAAGGGTACCGGTAGGCCCTAGGCTAGAGTAGTGTAGAATCTACAAGTAGGCTAGGGTTGGACTGTTGGGGACTTTTGCTGTTCATTTTCGCGACACGGCATTTGGAGAAGCCAAGCAAGTTGGCGGTGGCAATTGTCTGCAGGCGGCACCCTGAGACCCTTGCCTTGGACGGCAGCCATAGCTGGCCCTCTGAAGATTGCCGGAGCTGGGGCAACCTCAGCGCATCTACCCCTGGGGGTATCTGCGTCTGGCCGGGCTACATCGAGGCTCCTCACTGAGTGTTTGTGGGTGGCGGCAGCCATAGCTGCCTGGTTCTTCGTCAGAGTTGTCCATCGGCACTGGAGACTTCTTCGCAGGATCTGTTCTTCATCTGGGTGGATGGCGCTGTCCTCAGGGAGGCTGTTTCCGTGTGAGGCTACTAACTGGGTGGAGGGTAGAGAGTGGAGTGTGGGGTTCTGAGGGTGGCGAGATACTGGAACAAACTCTGTAACGATATTGGGTTTAATTGGCTCTTCATCAGTGTGAATTCCAATTGTTATCCTCGCAGGTTCTTCCTTGTGATTGGTTGTTGGGAGTATCGTCAGAGAGTGAGAAACACTGTGTGTCTTCTCCCCATCTGTGCATGGCTGTGCTTCCGCTATCTTCTCTGATCTGTGTGCAGTTTGGACTCTGTCTCCTCTCCCCCTTCTCTTATGCATGTATGGGTGTGTATGAGATTGTCTGTGTGTGAGTGGCGGTAAAAATCGTCGGGCAACCAAGTTCATAACAACATCAGCATGCCATGAAGACCACAGGTAGCGCCACATCAGCATGCCTGGTGTACAATGCCAGCGTGCTGCCTCTCCCTCGTGTCGTCGTCCGCAGCTCTGATGCACAGCCAGCGTCTAGCCAGCATCGCGCTAGCATAATGCCAGCGTCTAGTCAAAGTCAAGCCAGCGTTGAACCAGCATAGCAAGACTGAATACTGACCACCTCGAGGCCAGTCTTTAAGTAGCATTTGGCGAGGCTCTCTGGCCTCGGGTCTCCTTCCCTCAGTCGTCCAGATTGTGTCACAGCCGAAGGCCTGGATCGTACAGTTGCAGACATTCCCCTTGGACCTTATGCTGTCTGGGTACCTGCATACAAACAAGTGTGTGTGCTTGACCGGCGGCCTGGACTGGGTACGTTTGGACTTTGACTGTTGGGTTACGGCAGTTGACAAAAGTCAACCGTCTCTCGTCCAGGCCCTGGATATTCGTGTGGGGTCTTTGCCCCTGTTTTCGGCCTGGGCTGAGGGCGACCGAGTTGGCCCTCAGTCTTTCCACGAGACTTATGGCATGGGTTATTGCAAAAAAGAAGAAGAAGAAGAAGAAGAAGAAGAAGAAGAAGAAGAAGAAGAAAGAAGAAGAAGATGATGATGTACACCACCAAAGGCCAATGATAATTCCCCTTCTTCTCGCCAACCAAACTCGTCCTCCTTTTCTCCTCACCTTTTATTCAAATAAAATAATAATAATGACGATGAATGGCCGAACCAGAATCAATGTCCGAATTCGTTTCTACTGCAGGCACAACATGAGGTCCACCATAGCCATGGCCACCCTTCTCCTTCCTCTTCACGACGGTCGGGGCTATGGCGGACTACTAGCCTTGCCCTGACATGCAAAACACAACTCAAAGCAGCTATGGCTGCTCCTGCTCAGGCCGCCATGCCTGACTCTGCGGCGAAGCTTCTTGATGCTGCTCTACCCCAACAGGGTCTTCTAGATGCAGTGCCCACCAAGGTGATGAAGATGGCGTCCACCATACCAGGTAAGTACCCCTGGCGCTCCACTCTCCTAGTCCCTTCTTCCTCCTCCAGCCCGAGCTCCTCCACCATAGCCAAGGTGGGGAGCTGGGCACCCTTCTTCCCCACAGCGCTGCTCCAACCAGCACTGCTCCAGCCAGTGGTCCAGCAGCGTGTCGCCAAACTTGCATGGAGCAAATGAGGAGGAGCGCTTTGCTCCTCCTGGAGATAGAGCGGCCTACTTGCCTCTTGGGTCTTGACTTCCAGGCCGCGCGACCTCCAAGCAACCGGTACCGCCTACCTTTCGGAGGGAAACATCATTGCAGGCTCTGATATTGCCCGTACACGCCCTAGACTCAGACCACTCGGACCGGTACCCGCCTAGACCTAGCCTACAACTACCGGGCCTCTAAAAATGCCAACTTTTGTTTTCCTCTGCTCGGCCTCGAGTACCCGGCATATCTACGGTTACTTGGTGTGGTACTGGGCTACCTGCTACTTGAGTGTTTTTCCCCTGCTCTAAGTGTCGCGGGTCTAGTCCCGCCACTTTGAGTGTTTTCCCCCCTGCAACCCTTAAAGTCACGGCCACAGGTACGTATCTGTCCTCCGGTCCTCCTGAACGAAGAAGTACTCTTGTGGGTCACACATGCATTCAAGTCGACAAGCATGTAGACAGGCACGCGGACCAGCAAGCACACACAAGCACACACAGACTTAGAAAACTCAGCAACAAGCGGGACTCAGCAAGTCATACTTTCCATTGGCAAAACTCACAAATCAGCTGTGTGTCTCAGTCCGTGTTTGGCAGGTCCTTACAACTGGGTGTTCTCTACCTTGTTTTGTCGGAACTTCATCCATATTTCATCATTAGCATTGTGCTGATGATGTCCTATGTTTCAGCCCCCTTCTTGTGTCGATGAAATCCGTGTGTGTTATGGCACTCGAAGATGTTGCCTGCCCTCGCACCACTATGCTTGTTATCAATGGGCTTTTATGAATGGACAGAGAGTTATTGTTGATGTGTGGGACACTGCTGCTATCTTAATCAGTTATGGCATCGGGGAACTTGTTTGGTTTATAATCGGTGTGTGTCTGTTCTGGCTGCGCACGTCATGCTTGTTGATTGGATTGGTTTCTTCATCTCCAGCGAAGAGATCGACTTCTCTCTTGGCACAAGGGACAAGCTGGAGTTGCACAGAGAGGACTAAAGGGAATCAGTCTGCCTGGATTATGGATAAGGGCATGTTCTCGCTAGGACTTTTTCAACTGATCTCTGGACGTGATTACAGTCAGATGCATTCTGGTCTGGCTGTATTTCCTGTCAGATGCGTTCAGAAAAGTGCTATGCGAGAATGGCCTTAGTCCCGCAAATGGATAATGGATAATGGACAACTCTAGTGAATGGATAATGGCCAAGCTCGAGTCATCTTTTATCCATGTGCTGGGGATGACGTTGGCTAGGAGCCAGCTTGCTGTGTGTGAATGGCAGCTACCGAACCTCATCCCAGGAAGGAAGGGCTGCTGTTGAGCTGGCAATGGAAGAATGACAAGGAGGATCTTGCCTGGCACCTGCCTGCCTGCACGAGAGCGTAATGGATACCCACCCATCGATGCCTCTCTTCCCATTTTCCAAGCTGAATTGCATTGACAGAGATAAGGTCAAATTGAGCTGTCACAAGATGCGAGAGACCATTGAGAGGGTGGACATCAGATGGCGGTGAAGACATCCACCGAAACCACCCTCCAAGCGCGATGGGAGTATTGACGTCACGTGATGATATCGACATTGGATATCATCTGCAAATTGTGTACTCGAGAGAAAAGTCCCTGTTCCCCTTCCTCTCTTTTCTTGCCACTCTCCATTTTGGACCTTTCCTTCGTTGCCTGAATTTGACAATTCCCGCTATGCTCTGAGCATTTTTTGTTCACCGACGACAATCCCCGGGCGTTGAGGAGGCTCCTGAGGAGACCAGGAAGAGCCCGCCAGACTGCAGGAAAGTTTTAGAGGGTTGGTTTAGTGCAAATGTGCCAGTTCTTTGCCACATAGAAACCATTTGTACTGTTGTATTTTAGGAAAGTTCTAGAGGGGAGGATAGAAAAGTGTTTGCAGGTGTGTAGGATAGCTTTGAATTCGGAAAGCTTTTCACCACTCAGTGTCATCATGTTTTGACTCTTACGAGGAGTGCTATGTGGCTGCTCTTGCCAAACTGCTTCTCTATTGAACTTGGTTGCGTGGAGACTGGTGCTCTTGCTTTGTCGCAGAACCAACGCCACCCTGAACACAACAGTAGCAACAAGAAAAGAGTGTCCCAAGCCTGCATAATATTTGGGCTGGGGAGGGTGGTTGCGGGGTTGGGAGAGGGGGGGGAAGGAGGGAGGAGGAGTAGCTGTGTTGATGGGGTTGTGGTTATGTTCATAGGCATGGGGCATTTCTGTGAATGGGTGTTGGAGGAAGGGGGAAGGAGGAGCAGCTGTGTTTATGGGGTTGTGGTTGTGTTCATAGGCATGGGGCATGCCTGTGGATGGGTGTTGGAGTAGGGCTTTTGCTGTGTGTACTTCATCCTGCACTTGTTTATGATGGCGTTCTCTGTTGCCAATAAGTTATTCAACCGGCAGGCAAAGATGTTTTTTGAGAGGGGAATGTTTTTTTTGAACTCTTGAAGTTTGTTGGAACTTCGTTCAAAAGCAAGTTATGGTGGCAGCAGAGCAGAGTAGGATGTGTGGCACAGCTACCGGCAGTTCTGATGAATGTCTTTTCCCTAAGAGCATAGTTACACTAATGTCACTTGTCTGTTTTTTCCCACTTTTTTCCCATCTGTTGTTTAGTCATTCCCTTATAGAAAGCTGTGCCACTGCACTGTGCAATCAGACCCGTCTTCTTCTTTATTCCGCATGCATGCAAACAGGTGGCAATCAACACTGGCGCCAAACGCCCACTCAAAGCTCAGAGATATCAAGGATGGGAACACAGTTCAAATACAAACTCCTTCCAATTGGCTATGGCGCCTGAGCGCCTACCCGTCACCCGTCCGACACTGTATTCACAACAACTGTTCTCACACACACACACTCGCGACCTCCCTGAATGTTCCACGCACGATCACTCTGTATCACACACACACACACACACACACACACACACACACACACACTCACTACTACCTATCGCTAGCTATGGCAGCTTTGGCCGCCGCTCTATCTTTCTCGCAGCCCACTTCGACTTCGGGCATCTGCAGGCCACCTTGCACAAGACTCTCGAGCAGCGCTTCCACATGGCGCACAGCAGAATGAATGAATGAATGGACGCTGCCTCTTGATTTATACTTCTGTAGGTCGCTGGTCTGCCCCTTTCCGCCGGGCCCATGGTGCGCAGAGTCCCACATGGTACTTGCTGACTAGACTAAGTGCTACTGGGACTGGGTACCGCTGACTCGACAAAGTTGGACTCCAACTTACCCACTTGCCTCTGGCCTAACGTGCATAAACTCTCGAAAGTCCACTTCCGGAAGTCTGTGGACTTGGCCTTTCGCAACTGTAGCAGCTACGACCTTGACCTTCCAAGGATGCAGCAACTATGACCCCTACTCGACAGATCTACAGTTCAAGACCCGACAGCTACACAGACCTATGACAGACAATATTCAGCTACCAAAACACAGGTCACGGGTTCAAAACACACAGGGTTGACTTGATACTGTACACGTGTGATGTACGGACTAGGGATCGAACCTTGGGATCTCCATCTGTTACTGCAAAGGTGAAAACTGTTTCACTCCCACGGGCCTAAATTCGAGGTCCTCCGAGAATACTTCAGTCCAAGGCTGGACCTTTACCTTTCTTATCTCTCTCGTAGGCTCGAACTACATCGGGAGAGGTCTCAAGAAGCTCTGTACGTGTGAACCAGCGGTCATCTTCCGGTTCCTGAAAAGAGAATCCGACTTTGTACTGTTTTTGTGGATGACCTCTACCTCCTGTTTTGAACACATCTTCACCTACTTCGCCATCAATGTCGTAGCTGCCATCCATGTCTGAAGGGATCATGGATCTTCGGGATGGAAACTGTTGACATGTGGTACAGGGCAACAACTTTGATGCATGAAAAACTGGGTAGGTGTGGATGTGTGCTGGAATCTCGATTGTGTAGGACGGTCCATCCTCTCCGCCCTTGACTTCTAGGACTGGCCACGGTCCTCGGTATGCAGGCAATAGCTTCTGCGAGGTGTTCTCCTCGGGAGCAAACTCTTCTTACTTGACCCAGACTAAGTCGCCTACTTGGAACTGTGATGGGCGACGATGTTTCTTGGCTTCTTCTATCATCTTGTGATGGGCCTTCCTGAGGTTCTCTACAACGGTAGCTATCTCTTTCTCATGTTGTATCGCGAATTCCCTTGTACCAGGTGGTAGCCTCTAGATCTGATCCCGGTTCTGTCCTTCGAACGGTCTGCGTGGTCTAAAGGACTTATGCAACTCATTGGGAGTGTGACAGTTCGCCAAATGCACGCTATTGTTTTATGCACTGGCTACCTTGGGGAGCAGCTCGTCCCAGTTAACTCTATCAGGTCTAATGTACATTCGGTAGCAATACCTTATTCATCTGTTCGGTCTGACTGTTAGTCTTTGGGTGGCGGTCAGACAACATCAACAACCTAGAGCCACAAACTCTCATCAACTCCTGCCAGTTCTGACTAGTGAACCTGGTATCTTTGTCATTAACTATAGACAGCGGTAAACTGTGTCTACTGACCCAGTGATTGAAAAACTTTTCTATAACTAAGTCCGTACGCTCCTCAAAAGGCAACGGAACAAAAACTGCATATTTACTAAATCGGTCAACTACAACCATGACTTGGCTCTTGTCATGCCTACTCCTGACCCCGGCATCCATAAAGTCAATGGACACAAAATCTTCGGGTCCTATGGGAATAGGCAAGGGTCTAAGAAGACCGAGAGGTGCTCGCGTACTGGTCTTATTTCGCTGGCACACCTTACAATTGCTTACATATTCTATGCAGTCAACTTTCATGTCGGGCCATGTATATGTGCAAATGAGGTTGGCTACAATCTTTTGCCAACCAAAGTGTCCCTCTGTGTCGTGGCATTCCCCTAAGATGAAACTACGTATCTCTTCATTGTTGAGAACTCATAAATGGTCAGTTACGGTCGTCTTTTCGAATAATAAGCCGTTTGTAGTGCGGTATTCCGGTTCAGTTTTTGAAGACTTCTTAACTCTCTTAAGGAGATCACTATAAATAGGGTATTGTGCATACGCTCCTTTGATTTTCTGTTGCAGGTCTTTCCCTATGTCCAGACAGTGAACTATCGCTCGAAAGTAATCAGCTCTCCTACTTGGAGCGTTCACGACCACATTATGCTTTCCTTTAATTGGCTTCAGCTCGAAGTCGAACTAGTGTATCTCTTCGGGCCACCTAGTAAGCTTAGGTGTCATCTTGGCCTGCATCTTCAACCACCTCAACGTCTCGTGGTTTGAATACACTTTCAAGCGTCTCCCAAGCAAGTAGTGCTTCCAGTGATCTAGCGCTTGCTTGAGAGCGTTAAGTTCTCTCTTATAGGTAGATGTCGCTACGTGCTCTGAAGGCATCCTAGCAGATATGAACTCTACGGATCTGTACTCGTTGCCATTATCTTGCTGTAAAACAGCACCTTTACCATACTGACTTGTATCAGTGGTGACAACAAAAGGCACGGACGGATCGACTACCTTGAGGACTGGGTACTCTATCAAGGCCCGCTTCAGCTTCTTGAAGGCCGACGTACAGTCTTTATCCCACTCCCAGATTGTTTTTTTATGCAGCAACCTGCGAAGGAGCACAACGATTGTAGAGAAGTTCCTCACAAAGTTCCTATAGTAATTTGCTACGCCTAGGAACGTCCGCAACTTTGTCAATGTGTGGGGCGTTGGCCAATCTTTGATCGTCGCTATCTTACTATCCTCAGGTTTTATGCCATCTCCATCTAAGACGTGGCCCAAGTACATAACTTGTGTCTTGGCCCACTCACACTTCTTCGCGCTGATCTTGAAATTAACTTCTCTCAGCTTTTCCAAGACCTGCCTCAGATGACTCTCATGCTCCTGAAGGGCCTTGCTAAAAACTCAATATAGTCTAGATATACAACTATGAAAATTACTATAAACTCGTGATGCCCGTATTTAGTCATGAATGTCGTTCTGTACTGATCATCAGGATGTACCTCTATCTGATGATAGTCAGACTTCAAATCTATCTTAGAGAAGTACTTGCATCCCTGCACCCGATTTAGCAGATCATCTATACGGGGCAGTGGTTCTGCATTCTTTACTGTGATGACATTAAGACCCCTATAGTCAATACACATTCGAAGATCTACCTCCTTCTTGGGGACAAATAGAACAGGTGCTCCGAACAGAGACGAACTGGGTCTAATCCAACCCTTCTCCACGAACTCGTCTAACTACTTGAGCGGCTCCTCTAACTCCCTTGGGGACATTCTATGAACGGCTCCCTTACGAGTCCTACTGCCAGACTCTATCTCAATACGATGCTAGATTAGCGAGGACGCTACTCCTGTGGGCGGCTCAGACAAATCGCATACTCCTCCAACAGCGTGGCAACAACCGGATTAGTGGGTTCCTCTTCCTAAAGCTTAGTGACAGGTCTAACATAGGCTACAAGAACCTGTTATTTTAATTGCTCCTTCTTTACTAATCGTGTGAACGCGGGAACAAGGAGGCAGCAATGTGCCAGAGGGTTATCTACTCCTGACACATGAAACAGGCGAGCAGTTTTAACTTCGCCTAATGGGTTAGGGAGCCTACACTTGTGTTTTCTCAGATGGAGTGTGCCCCCTTCTGCCTCTCCCCGGTCCATTCTTATGACCATGTCGCATTGAAGGTTACCCTCTACGAGGAGAGTCGGGAAATGGAGAACTCTCTCTACTTTCTCATCCTTCTTTAGGCGAAAGTACGCGTGAACTCCCTCAACGTAATCCTCGACTCGCATAGTGCGATTGTCTTCGAGGATATTGACTATAGGTCTTCCAACTTTTGCACATTTAGGTTCAAATTTAGCTTCTGCAACACTTTTCCACTGATATAACTGTGAGTGGCCCCACTATCTATAAGAGTCCCTACTCTCTGCCTCTAAAGACTTTTACATCTACTAGAACTAGTTGTTATTTTCCATCTTTCTTCATTTTGGCCCAGACCGGCATCCTCTCCTTCAACTCCTCTGCAAGACCTGTGAGGGAAGTGCCTAGAGAGACTCTAACATGAGCAGTCTCTAGACAATTGTCTAGGCACTGGCCAGCAACCCCTGCCATAGACACATGTGGGTTGGGACTTTCTCTCTGGTGCGCGCACTCTTCTCCACATGGTCTAGGGATAAGGGCAGTTGCAATCCCTACCGGTGGTTGCCTTTTGCTGCCTGTGCAGCGCGTCGGGCCTCTCTATATTTGGGGCAATGTTTAATGATGTGCCCCGGATCACCACAATAAATGCATTGATCCCGGATTAATCTCCTCTGCCATATATTGTTTGCTCTAGACCCATCTCTTCCCAGGGCTTGCCTTGTGGCAAGCAAAGGTGTCATTCACCCCTCCTGGAAGGTGATTGATTAAAAGAAGAGCGGT